TTTCTAATTATTAGTGATTTGAAACAATTTTTCAGGTAAGAAAATATTTTTGAAGCCTTTATTTACAAAAGTTTAAAAACAAACAATACCTTCCGTTTTGCAAGTAACTTTTCTGAAGAAGGACCACCCAGTTACAGTATTGTAATTCAAGGAGAAAAGAATGTTAAGGTACAAGGGAACAAGCCAATCTGGCAAACAGCTAATACTACTTGGGTTAAGTGCAGGTAACACACACACACACACACACACACACACACACACCATGACTTGCCATCCATCATCATTTCTGAGTAGCATTTAAGTTACCCATTACCAAAGTCTTTCTTCACACGCTCTGACCTGTTCACATGTTCCTGTCTACATAGCTAAGAAAGTATTTCACAGTTATTCTGTCAATGTATGGAAAATATATTGCAAAGGTACACACACAAAATAAACAAGCATTACACTCATTAGGCGACTTTATTTACTCTAACTTGTCGTTTTGTCGTTTTACAACAAATCTCTTCATCATTTTTGTCTTTGTAGCAACTACAAAACCATCATCTCGTCTCTTCTAATTTAATTTGGTATAAGACATACTTAAGGGGACTTGCTCTCTTTGGACTTACTAACATGTGGAGTTGCCAAAATATGGGCTCGGTAAATATGACTCTAACGGGGCTGGGGCGAGGGCCAGCCGAGGCGGGGTAAACGCGAGCAAGCAAAGACGCGGCGGCGCCACGGGGGTGCCCGCAGCTCTGGCCCGCGGGTGGAAAGCTGACGAGAAGCACTTCTTCAGTCCCAAAGCCCGTTCAGAGACCGACTTCAAATCCAGCAAGCCTGGCGAGCTGGGCTCCAAAGACCCAGGGACAGCGAGCGGGGGCTCAACTCTTCAGGAGCCCGTCTTTTCCCTCGCCAGAGAGCTTTGCCAAGTCAACAATTTGCAGCACGGTAAGCGGACTCTGTTGCATGGGTCCAAAACAGGAGAGTGCTGTGTGAAACTGGTAAATGATCAACTTTCAGGCTAACAGCAAGGGAAACCCAAACTTCTACTAAAACAGTGGATCTGAGTCACTCTCTAAAGTGCAAAATCGATGGTCCACAAATCTCAAATAGCTAAAACTCTTGCATACTGCAAGGGATAGTCAACAAAGCAATACGTTACAGTCAGTGCTTGTTAATCTGGGAATGGGGGGGACAGGTGTGGGGTACAAACTAAGACTAACTAGATATGTTTACCAAAAGGTTGAGTATGATATGGATGTTTCCTTTGGCCACACACGCTTGCTAACAGATTAATTATACAGCCAAATTTAACCTGAAGAATCTTCTACTTATCAGGATCTGTGGAAGGAATGGTCATAATTAGGACTGAAAGAAGAGAAAATGGTTTGAGAAGGCAGGGTGAAAAAAGAAAAAGGACCTTTGTTTCACTCACTTTTACAGCGTTTGAGTTGTTAGAGAACTACCATGGAATATTCAGTGGGAAGGAGATGATGCGTTTTCCGTGATTGGCAGGTTACCCAGCAGGCTAACCTAAGCTGCTCGCTCTTTTCTTCTCCTTTTATACTTCCAATCCCATATTCCATTCCTAAGTGGCAGAGTAGGAATCTTGTTGGCCCTGGAGTCAGGAAGACTTGGTTTCGCTTATTTACTGTGTAACCTTGGACAAGTCACTTACCGTCTTAGTGTGCCCAGAAAACTCTAGGAGAATATTTCAAAGAAAATGCCAACGTCCATTATTAGTAGAGGACATTTATCAATAGGAATTCATGCCCTAATGGAATCACCCATCTAATTTTTGGGAATTCCATAGCACATAATTGGCAAGATCATAGGAGGGGTTTGTGGTAGAAGAAACTTTATATGGAGTTAAAAGACATGGGTTCAAATCCTGCTCTGCCACTCCCTGCTTGAACATATTCGTATAAATCACTGAATCACTCAGGGCCTAGGTTTTTGTGTTTGATAAATCAGGTGAGTAATGCTTGCCCTGCTCACCTCACAGAATTCTCATGAGAATAAAGGAAACAATGTCTGCAAAGAGCTTGGGAAACCATAAAGTGCTAAAGAAAATCATGGGATCGTAAATCTAGAGCTGGGTCAGAAATTGGAAGTAACTGAGACCAATGGCTTCATTTGACAGATGAGGAACTGGAGCCCTAATTAGGGCAAGTGCCTGGACCAAGGTCGCATAGGGAGTCATCTGCAAAGCTTGGATTTGAAACCAGATCCTCTGACTCCAAGTCACCTCACTAAGTGCTGGCCTCACAGGAAACTTGTGAGATCAAATGACATGGTGCACCCAAACTGCATTTTACCGCAAAAAAAAAATGCCTCAATTGTGACTTTATATGAGTTGAACAACTATATAAAAGTCTGATAATGATGTAGCTTTTCTCATTATTACCTCCAAACTGAACCTCAGCATAGAAATTGGAATGAAGTAGAATTCCATCTTGTCCAGAATTCTCTGCGCGGTTTGGGGGTTTGATGCACCCAGTGACATTTCATCTCCAGATGGAACACCTGGAAGACCTTACCACGCAAACTAAATCCTTCTGGCTCCTCACTATGACAGTGCTAAAAACTGTTTATGAGCATGTGTCTCCCCGATAATAATGAGAAAAAGGCTGATTCAAAGGGAGGTCTTCCAGACTGCACGTGGCCCTTTCTTGTCTTTGAACGATGCACCTTCCATCTGTGTGAAACCAATGAGCAGGAGTTAAATAATAACAGTGCTATATTAGGTAAACAGGTAAGTTTTAAAGACATTTAAACCTACTCAGAAGTTTATGCCAAGTTCAAAAAAGTCCATGTGTAGTCAACAGGGTTCAGTGTTCTGTAAACAAAGAAAGAAGTTCAACTCAGATGATTGAGTGAGTTCATAGTTCAGGGAGGATGCCAGTTCTGGCATACACTCATTGCATTTATGGCATTGTGTAATCCCTTCATATCTCTATGCTCAAATTTCTTAATCTCTCAACTGGGTGGGGAGGATTTGATGGGGGGGGTGATCAGAGGATCACAAGGGTTCACTGTTTGAGAACTAGATCCTCTAGTTAAACACTCTCAATAATCAAGGAAAGAAACTGAAGTCTAGAGATAGGAAGAGATTTGGACAAGGTCAGAATGTTAACATGTAGAGCCAGGATGGCATTTCTGCTATGATTCTCTAGTCACTTAACCACCATTTGGCTCAGTGTCATCAACTGTAAAATGGGGATAAGAGTATCTACTTACTTGGTTTGTTGTGAGGATTAAATGAGATGATACTTATAAAGCTTTTAGCATAATGCCTGTGACATAAAAAGTTCATATAATAATAACAATAAAAAAGAATTATTATTGCATTCATCAAGGGTTCTGTGATTGTAACAATGAAGGAACTCCGTCTAACAATGGAAAATGTAAGACCATCATACCTTTGCAGAATTTGCAGCTCTTGTATAAGTACTACTGAAAAATTCTCCACAAGGGCAGGATGCAGGGGTGGGTTGATAAATGTTTAAAACCTAGATTCCCAGAAAAAAAATATATGTATGTATATATCCGTCACATTTTAAAGCTGAATCTGCACTATTAACATTTTCTTCATGAGTTTTTTTAAATCTAGAAATACAACAATAAATCAAGCCCTGATTAGCAGTATTTGTCAGATGTCCGAAGTATAAATGGCCACACTTAGAATTTAACAACCACCTCTCTTGAGATGGACTGAGGCGGCTCTAGCACACTCTTTGGCAAGAATCTTATTTCTTTATCTTTTTATCTTCTTTCTGAAACTCTCAGAATCTCTTTTGTTCCAACAGAACAAGGAGCTTTGGTAGGACAGCACCTTTAGACAAACTTTGCAGGCTATGGACTTTCTGTGAAGTGAAGAGAGGGTGATAAGTGAATGGTAACTAGCTGAGACCCTACCCAGGTGTGTAGAGTTCTTGAAGTGGTTCCTGTGTGCTAACCATTGATGGTACATTAGGTTATCTTTGAAACTTTAAAGATCTGTGGACAAGTCAAACACAGAGCAAGTTGAACATTCTGATGTGATGTTCAGCCTTGCACCTGAGAGGAAAGCAAAGTTCAGTATTAGCAGAGAAATGCATTCCATGTCAATCCAAGGTGGAAGACCATTAAGAATAATACTACCTAAGGCTACAGTCTCAACCTGAGAACCATGGTTTTTCTCCAAGCTAGAATGGGGCAGGTAATCCATGGAGGTCTGTGAGAGAGACGGCTTCATGCTCTGCTTGAAGTGTCATTAGTTGATGAGAGCATATCCCAAGGGTGGTCAGAAGATGAGTATTATCAAAGACTGATACTAGAAAAGGCACAAAACTGAAAGATCAGGGTCAAAAAGACTAAAGCTCAGAAGATATTCAAGGGTGTACAATTATTGGGGATACCAAAGGTAAGAAGAAGAAGGGAAGGATAGATAGGTGGAGGAGCCCGTAGGGCAAATGGGCCACTACCCAAAGAGGACAGAAAGAAGGCAGAGCGTGTCAATGCTTATTTTGCTGCCATCTTCTCTCTCAAGAAAAATGTTCTTCAAGGTGGAGAAAGAACAAGCATGGTTAAGAAGTCAATTAAGCCCAGTGTAGCTTAGGACATAAGAAGACAGCAATTAATTTCTTTAATACGAGGTCAAGTCTGCAGGATCTTAGAAACTAGACTGTATAACCATATCCTCTCAGGCTGAATTTGGATATTTGCTCTCTCTTTAGCTCAACACATATCTATAGGCCAACAGAAACCGGATTGTTGACAACCCATGACCTCCCAAAAGATGAGCTGGACAAAATGTTTGCATACCCCCATTTTCCCTGTGCAATTCAGGGCCAGGTTAGAGTCAGGAAAATATTACCAAACAATAAATCTGTAGACATTTCTTTAACAACCTCTTGCCTACTAAACTAATCAAAGTTAATGGAAAACTATTCCTGATTGCCCAGAAGGACCGTCTGTTTGGGCATTCCCACCCCTTGTTATCTACCAATGAATATAAAAGCATAGCAACTAATCTGGTACCTCTGAGAGCTGTAGGACCATCTCTCAGGGCAATGGATGCTTGGGGACTCACCACGACTGCCCTCCTGGCTTGTGTCATTTTCCTGACCTTTTTGTCTCTATGGAGCCAAGGATTCAAAAAAGGAAAGTTCCCACCAGGTCCCACTCCTCTTCCCTTTATTGGCAACATCCTGCAATTAGATTTGAAGAACCTCGCTGCATCATTCTCACAGGTAAAGGGGCTGGATTTGGGTTTTGGATCCTAGCTACTTGGGTTTTGGAGGGGGAGAGACACTAAGGATTCAAATGAATAAGTGAATCAGGACTCATGATTATTTAGAGTCCTAGGTCATGGGTGGTGTGGGTCAAGGGCTCTATGAGTGATATCTCCATTAGCAATGATGTCAGGCATGCATTGACTGTTTTGTCAAAACTTTGGTAGCAGAAGAAGAAATTCAGCAACAGGACCAAATCTTTACCATGTGTACAATGCATCATACTAGGCTCTAGAGATGTCAAGAGAAAAATAACCCGTTCAATCAATGAAAACTTCTTCAGGACCTAGTATGTGCCAGGTACTGTGTCAGACACAGGAGAGAAACATATGGTCCTCCAGGAGCTTACATTCTCCTAGGATACAACAAATTCGTAGATAAGTAAGTAGAATGTAATTAGAGGACAGAGAAAGGACTTGTAATTGGGGGACCCAAAAAAGTTTCAAGTAGAAGAGAACCCCTGAACTGGACCTTGAAGGATGTAACAGATTCTGATGGGAAGAGAGGGTGGGAATGAATGCCAAGCATGGGAGGCAGTCTGGGTAAAGGTAAGTATTTGAGAAATAATATAGCTATGGGGTGGGGGGAGTTTGTCAAGAATGTGAAGTTTGGGGTGAGGGGTAATACAAAATCAATCTGGACAATTAGGTTGGAGCCAGCTGTGCAGACATTTAAGTGCCAAGTTATGGAGGCAGCAGGGAGCCCTTGCAGACTTTTGAGTAGAGGAACGATATGGTCAGAACTGTGCACGGGAGTATTAAGTTGTTAATTGTGCAGATTATTCATTGCAAACGAGAAATACTAGAATTAGGGGATTGAACTTGGAGGCCACTGAAAGAATGGATAAAAATATCATTTATTAAGTCCCTTATGTGCTCAGTATTGTGGAGGTAACACAGAGTAAGAGATTTCTGCTTCATGTTAGTTGGAAAGGCCTAGTGCTCCTTAGGGCAAATCAACAAAACTGTTGCTAATGCAGCATATCTCGTGTCAATTCCACTGATAAAAATCATACCTTTTCTGATATTGAACCATTGGATAGTTCCCAGGACTTTGGTGGTGAGACTTTTCTTTTCTAGTCTTCAGTAGCTGTGGCTTGGCATCTACAGAAGCAGTTGCCAGGAGGTTCCTTCCAAGGCTAATATTGAGGGAGGCTGCGATGGAAGTAGGAATAGTGGTCTGTAGCTCTTTCTGTGGTGACAAAGAATTGGAAATTGAGGGGATGTCCATCAATTGGGGAATGACTGAACAAGCTGTGGCATATAAATGCAATGGAATAATATTTGGTATAAGAAATGACAAGCAGGTGAATTTCAGAAAATCTTGGGAAAACTTACATGAACTGATGCTGTGTTAAGTGAGCAGAACGAGCAGAGCATTGTACACGATAACACCAACATTGTGTGATGACTGGTTTTGATAGATTTAGCTCTTCTCAGCAATGCAATGATTGAAGAAAATTCCAACACACTCATGGTGGAAAATGCTATACACATCCAAAGAAAGAACTGTGGAGTCTGAGTACAGATAGAGACATACTATTTTCTCTTTTTTTGTTTTTTCTTTCTTGTGGTTTTCCCTTTTTCTTCTGATTCTTCTTTTACAACATGAGTAATGTGGAATTATGTGTAATATGTACATGTGTATCCTACATCAGATTTCATACTTTCTTGAGGAGGGGGGAAAGGAAAAAGCGGAAAATTTGGAACTCAAAATCTTATAAAAGTGAATGTTGAAAACTAAAAATAAATAAGTAAATAAATATTAGAATTTTTTTAAAAAAAAGAACAGTCTAAGAAAGAGGGGATGAGGGTCTTAATTGGGTCAGTGGACAATTGAGGAGGTAAGACAGAATAGATGTGGGAGACATGATGATAGAAGCTGCTTGACTTGACCATAATCAATTGGATTTGTATAGTAGGTAAGAATGAAGAATCAAATATAAATCTGTGACTGTCAGGGTGAATGGAAATGCTTCCTAGTGAAGTTCATTTCTTGGATGTCCTCAAGAAAAATAGGTAAGTTTGGAGGAAAGAGCAGTATTAGGGAAAAACAAATTAGTTGCATTATAGAATGTTAAATTTGCAATGCCAACAGGACATGCAGGTTGAGAAATCATTTGTAAACAGTTGGTCACATGAGCCTGGATTTCAAAAGTGATAAATTCTCTGGTCATATTGCGGTGGGGGTCTTCTGCTTAGAAATGATCAGTGAAACCATGGGTGCTGAGGTCACCTAGTTAGAGAGCATAATGGCAGGTCATGAAATTTCCAAGGGAGTGGAAAGAAAAAAAAATCACCCAGAAAAGAGGCTTAGTGGGAAAGAGATGTATGATGACCCAGCAATGAGGATTGACAATAAGCAGCCAGACACGTATCAGGAGAAGCAGAAGAGACCAGTGTCATGGAGAAGAGAAAGGTCTCCAGAAATTTTTTGATTGCTCAACCTCTTACTTGCTCTTCCCTCCATTTTTTGGGGGGAATTTTGACTGTGTTTTACTATTTCTTGATGTCTTATGGAGTCATGAGCCTCAAATTGTTTCCAAGCCAAATATCAAAAAGAGAAAAAATAGAGTCTGTAAAATAAAGACCAAGGCATTTTATGTCAATTTTTGGGAAATTTTGATAATAGATCAACAAAAAGATGTTTGGTGAACATCAAGGAAGGGACACAATGATACCAAAGAGCCACGCTATCTGCATCCAGAACAGACGATACCAGGTTAACTTTATATCCTTTGACAGAGATAGGAAAGTGATACCTCTTCAACTGAACAATTAATGGAATATGGAATATGGGAGTTTCTTTTCCACTTAAATAAAGGGCGGAAGCAATGTTTTCTAGTGGAATCACAGTTTGAGCTAAAACCATATCTTCATTGCAGATTTTCATGGTAAGGGAGATCTTGCTTCTTATTCATTTTTTTAACTTTTGAAATCACAAGAGGTGTATAAAGCTGCTTGATATTACTTGTTCTTCAAATAATGTTAGTGGTCATTCCATTGATTTTACTGTGGTATAAGGTTCATACAAGCACTGTTTTGCCTTGGAATTTTGGGTTGAATTAATTAAGAAACATTTTCAAATGTACAACAAAAGCTAGGTCTTGGCAGCCTAGAGTAAGAGTCAGCAATGTTTTTACATGAAGGACCAGATAGTAAATATTTTAGGCTTTGTAGGCCAAAAGGCAAAATAAAGGACATTATGTAGGTATATCTGTAACAAGCAAAAACATTCCATAAGTTTTTAGTGATGAAATTCAACACATAATCATGCTAATTGAGTTACAATTTTTTTGTGATTTTTGTGAATTTTTTTAACAGAGAAGATCCCCAAAAAGGACATAGACAAACAGGGCAGTTTTGTTACTATCACATTAAATTGAAAATACCAATCAAACCCACCCATTTGTACATAACAGAAACTCAGTTTCATATACTATTTCCAATCTGTTATTGGTGTATTTGTCTCCAATGCTCTGGACCTACTCTCTCAACCCCCACTCACCCCAGCAGACTGTGTCATCCAGGGCTTGGCTATCTCTTACTTCCACACATTCTAGCTGTAGTCTTGAGGAGTTCAAGGGAGTTTTTCTAATACTAACAACTCATGAACCCCCTACTGGCGTGTTTGTACCATGATTATTGGTTAAAATAAATAGTCAGGTAGACCTTATTTGTTTTGGGGAAAGGATAGTATAATAACAATTGTTGATATGGAAAATCCCACCAGAAACCTGTGGAATATTTTCCTCCAAGTAGATATATAGTCCAGTAGGAAATGGGCTCAAGAGTACCCATCTGGCCAAGGGGAAACTCACATTCTTAAAAGGCTCTCTTATGGATTCTTTAAGATTTTCTCCTCAAGTGTTAGTAGTTTTTCTGCCAGTCTCCTTGTACAGCCTTGAAGCTGCCTTTCTTTATCGTGTCATTTCCTTGAGTCATGAGATAGACACTGCCATCAGTTATTCCAATAATGTTGCTATGATGCTTATGGGAAGTCCCAATATCTCTTATACCATTAGAAGTTCAGGATATCCTCTTCTGGCCAAGGCAGTGGATGAAGGAAACTATAACCAAGGCTTAAGGAAGACCAGGATTTTATCTTCTTCTACATCCTAACTCCAAGGAAATACTTCTTAATGTCTTGGATGAAAGTCTTTCACCATAAAACTGCCAGATGTTCAAATCTTCAAGTTCTTAATCGGTTTCCAATTTTATACAAAAAGTAAAATGTAAAAATGGTTGAAAGAAGTGCAAGTACTGCATGTTGAAAGATTTTTTTTTGTCTGACTCATTAAATACTGAGGAAGGCTGGGTGGTACAGTAGATGGAACACGGGGTCTAGTGTCAGAAGGGCTCTGTACTTTGTTACTTTTAGGACTTTGGGTTCAGGCCTTTACATCTGTCCCTGGGCCCTGGTTTCTTCATCTGTGAAATAATATACCTTCCAAGGTCCCTTCTCTCTTTAGATCTATGTTCCTATAGCTCACGCTACCCATGCCACCACTTTTTCTCCTATCTTTTTGCTAACAATTGCCACTATGATTCCTCTCCTCCTATTTTTCCTTCATATAAGGGATATAATTTTGAATCTTTGAGTCTATGTTCAATAAATTTTCCTACTGTTAATGGGTCCACATGGAAAAAAGCAATACTGATTCATCATTTCACTATTTCCCCCCTCGATGACTCACCCTTCCATAACCATCATTCCACCTTACCTGTTCTCTGTGTCTTTTCTGCATTAATTTTTTCATGACTTTGTGTCCCAATGTTTCATTTGTACCAAAATGAGAACTTTGCAATTAAGACTTGGGAAAACCTGAGACCAAGAACTGTTTTGTGATTATTTGACAAACACACATTGCCAGGCTATCACTTAACCTGTAGACATGAGGATTTAGTAAACTGCTCATTAATCATCCTACAGCAGAATGAGGTCTTTAAGTGAAAGAGTTTTTTCAAAGAAAACTCAAATTCTAGTGGAAGAATGACTATTTCTATGCACTGACACTTGGTGCTTGATAGAGTTGGTTAATAAAGGAGAGCTTCTATATACCTCTCTGTAGTTACATATGTTGGCTGAAAGGCAGAAAACCCTCACACTTCAGACATGGGAGAACTGGAGGAGCTTTCATAACTTCCCAAGTAAGGATCTATGCCCTTTTTGAAAGACCCTCTTCACTGCCACTACCCTGGAACAGCCTGGGATTGGAGCATCTCAGTAACAGAAGGCAACCCAATCCAGTCCAGCAGATATACACCTGACCTGCAGTGGAGAAGCAGTATGGCTTAGCAATGGGCTAGTCTTAGAGCACGATGGTCCAGTAAAACATTCTCAGAGAAGCTCAGCTTATAAGTAGATCCGCCTTCCAACTCAACCCTTTTTGTGAACCTTTGTGAGGGCAGACCCCACATGGGTTCCAGAGTTCTAATTGTCCTCACCACATGTATCCCTACATACCTGCTTCACTGTAATGGTACAATAATTTTGTGTTCACTCTCCTCCTACAACTCAGAGAACTTTAGCAGCTACCCCTTTTGAGGACACAAACTTCTAGTGTGGATAAAGATTGGGGAAGTAAGGCAATGGGGGAATGAGAGAATTTGCAAAGTAAGCATGTAAAAATATGTTGAAAATAAATGTAAGGTGATATTTATAAGGGAAGGCACTAGCAGCTAGGGGATGGGTCAAGAAACAATTTGTGTAGAAAGTGGCATTTGAACTAAGCTTTGTGAAAATTAGGAATTCTAAGAGTCAGAGGCAAGAAAGAAGTGCATCCCGGGCTTGTGGACTACAAAAGCAGGGTGATGGCAGATAGTGTTGAATGAGAAACAGTAAGAAGGCCCATTTGTATGAACCATGGAATAAAGGAAGAGGAATAATGACAATGGAAAGGTTGGTTCCAGTCAGGTTGTGAAGAGATTTAAATGCCAAAACAGTTTACATTTGATCCCAGAGGTGATAGGGAAGCAGTGAAATTTGTTGATCAGGGGAGTGAAATGATCAGACCTGAGCTTATATAATGGCAGGAGATTGATAAGGAGCAATCATACAGGTAAAAGGGAGAGGGACAGAGAGACAGAGAGGCAGAGAGAGAGAGAGAGATTAGACTAACCCAGAGAAAAGAGAATATATGGGAGAAGAGAGGGTAGTCAACAGTGTCAATTACCATAAAGAGGTCTAGAAGAATATGGATTGAGATAAGGCCATCAGATTTGGCTCTTCAGAGATCATTAGTAACTTTAGAGAGATCAGTTGGAGTTGAGTGTTGATGACTGAAGAAATACTGTAAAAATTTAAGAAATGAGAGGGGAGGTCACAAGAGTAGATAGCTTTGGTTAGGAGATGACAATCCTCCCTGCATCCTTTGTGGCTTTTTTCCATGTTCTCCTAAAAGTTTCCCATGATTCATCTACCCAAAATCAACACCAGGCCCTTTTGCACCCTCTTTTCACTAGATATTACCAATGGAGCACAGAGGGAAACTATCTGAGAAAAATACAGTACCATATTAGTGACAGGGATTCTCAAGGAGCAAACTAAAAGGAATGAGAATACTACTTTGGTGTCCCACAGATTATGCCTTCGTATGCCCAGAATTCATTAACAACATATGGTCCAGTGAATGTATAGGTACATAAATGCACACATACATAAGGCACGTTATGAGGTAGCTGTGGAGGTAAATTCCAACTTTCTAAAGTTTCACACTGAACTTCTTCCTACTTCTTGACATTGTTTTCACAGCTGAGTGAAAAATATGGCCCCATCTATACTGTTTATTTTGGAACCCAACCTGTCGTGGTGCTACATGGATACAATATGATGAAGGAAGCTCTAATTGATCAAGGAGATCGTTTTCTAGAGAGAGGAATTGTATCATTGTTTGAAGATGTAATCAGAGGACAAGGTATGTTTTGTTTATTCAAATGAGACATTGAAAAGCAAAAGGGTATGGCAGAGTGTATCCAGTAGAATGTAACCCCCGCTCACCCCTGGAGCATAGTTACTGGTTTCATATTTACTGGTCTTTTCTCAGTATGTAGGACAAGACCTTCCTGGGGTAGGTACTTTATATCTACCATGCTGTATTGTATTTTGGTTTCAGTTAAATAAAATTAAATTTCATCAATGAATTAAGCCCCAAACACTGTGCCCTCCACCACCTCCAGTGTTATAATGACCAATGTCCTTTTTTTCTCTTTTGTCCAGGAGTTGTTTTCAGTCGTGGAGAGAGATGGAAACAAATACGAAGATTTTCCCTCATGACCCTAAGGAACTTTGGGATGGGGAAGAGAAACATTGAAGAGAGAGTTCAAGAAGAAGCCCAATGCCTGGTGGAGGAGCTCAGGAAAACAAAGGGTTAGTTTTTAGTTCTTTCCTCCGGGGCATGTGGGGTCCAACTGCTCACTCATCCTAAGTCCTGAATACTTCTTGCTTTGGAAGTCATTCTGATAGTTTCTATCTTGTTCCACTGATAAGGCAATCACTCTCCTGGGCCAGAGAACTCCCTTTTCTCTTCTCATACTCAGTATTATAAGCTAATCTAGTTTCCTTATAAGGGGTAAAGGGAATTGTCCAGGACAATAATATTCTCTAGCCTTGGAGGAATTAAACACAATATCCAGGTATAGATAGAAGAGATGCCCAGTTCCTACATGATTGGAAACATTTCAGTTAAAGCTGTTTTTTCCTCCTCTGGCAACTTTTCTCTTCACTAGGTCAGCCCACTGATCCCACCTTCATCCTTGACTGTGCCCCATGCAATGTGATCTGCTCTATCCTGTTCCATGATCGATTCGATTACAATGATGAGAAATTTCTAAAACTGATGAACTTGTTAAATGAAAACTTTCGGCTGCTTAGCTTACCATGGACACAGGTAAGACCAGTTTTCTTGTCTGTAAAATGGGTATAATAAAAGCACCTACCTGCCAAAGTTTTGAGAGACTAAAATGAGGTAATATATTTAAAGCATGTTGGGCACATTTACAATTCTACATAAATGCTAGGTTTTGCTGCTGTTATTGTTATTATTATTACTGCAGAGAGGAGGAAACTGAGGTGCAGAGAATTCACATGATTTACATGAAATCACCATGTAAGTCACAGATCATACGTGATGACCCAGATCTTCTTAATCCAAATCCAATCATCTTTCCACTTAATTATTCTGTGCTGTAGAACAGACAACCTCATCTTCACAAAACAGATGAGAATTAATTTTTCAAGAAACCTGAATCTTTAACATCTTTAAGTCCTTTTGTTGATATTGTGAATTTCAGCACCATAGTCAGCCCAAGCCTCCAGTCACTCTTGACAAGGAAAATGAGTGGTGAAAAATGAGGTCTGAGTTTCCATCTTCAATATTATAGGAGCCAGAGACGATTCTGCTCTTTACTCACTACCCTGTCCCTTTTTATCTGATAACCATCAATGCCACCAAGAGAATGGAAGTACCTAGGTTTGAGGCTACAAAGATAAAGAAGCTAGGCTTTCCCAAGAAGTAGAAAACAGTACTCTCTTTGGCATTCTAGACCCTCTAAATTTGGCATCATATTAACTCTTAAGCTTGATCTACATACTACTCTCTTTCATGTACTTTATGGCTGAGCCAAGCTGGATCTTTCTCCGTCTCACATTAAATCCTGTGATTCTTTGACATTGTGACTTTGTTACCCTGTCCCCTGTTCCCTGAGTGTCCTTCAGGCCCCCTTTTTACTTGTTGAGTTAAAGTCAAACTTTAATGCCACCTACTTCATGAAACCAATCAGAACATTGGTTCTGATGTACCAATCATGTATTGTTTAAGAGTCATCTATGTGTATTTATCTTATTCCCCTTCTAGAATATAAACTCAATATGGGCAGGGGTTGTATCTTTTGGAAACTTTGTATCTGTCTGAGCACCTAATATTTTGCTCTGCATTATGTATTTTATGAGTATTCATCAAATTGACCTAAATGGATGAATAATTGATTAGCACAAACTCATTTAGTTGAAGTTATAGTGAGAAAGCTCATTATACAGCCTACCTTCAGACATACTGGTCCTGAAACACACACAAAATACTAAGAGCATGCCCTAGCTTCTCTTGGAAGCCTTTCTACACTGGTAAGAGCTTCCAGATCCTTTGACATCTCAGGATCACCTCCATACTGGGACTAGGCAAAATTGGGAGACTTTAGTAGCGGAAACATCAATTACTGCTAAACCCAGAACTAGTCTTTCAATTAGTAACTTTAACAAAGTCATCAATATTTCTGTATGTTACCAATAAAAGTGAATAGGAAGTAATAGAAAGAGAAATTTCATTAAAAAAATACTATAGAACATATAAAATACTTGGGAATCAATCTACCACAATGCACATAGGAATTGTTTGAATACAGCAACTACAAAGCCCGCTTTATGGAAAGAAAGACTGACCTAAATAATTAAAGGAATCTTAATTGGTCATAGGTAGGCTGAACTAATATAACAAAATACCACTTCAATTCATTTACTCATGTAATGCTATACAAATCTAAGGATTACTTGATAGTGCTAGAAAAATGATAATAAAATTGATCTGGAGTACAAAATGTCAAGAACTACAAGGGAAATCATGAAAGAAAAGAAAGAAGAAGGGAGAGTAGCAGTACCAGATCTCAAAATTTCTTACTAATTTTGAAATAGAGAGGTAGATCAGTTAAATAACTGAAGTATACTACATTTAGAAGCAAGCTAACTTGATATCCTAATGCTGGACACACACACACACACACACACACACACACACACACACAAGCCAAAACACTAGTTACTGTGGTAGGAACTCACTATGACAAAAAAATGCTGGAAAAACTAGGAACTATTGTGGCAAAATAAATGCTAAGACCAATGCCTCATGCTGTATATGAAAATTAGCTTCAGATTTATACATGACAGTTATAAAAGGTCACATCACATACAACTTAGAGATACAAAGAAGAGATTACCTTTCATATCAGTAAGTAGGGAAAGATTTCATGAAAAATATATTTAAAGAATCACAGAAGATAAAAAGATCATTTTTGATATATAAAGTTGAAAATTATTGGCACAAACAAAATCAGTGTTGCTGCACTTAGAAGGGAAGCAATTACCTGATGGAAAATGTTTGCATCAGTTTTCTCTGATAAAGATATTAATGACAAAATTCATAAGGAATTGATTCAAATGTATTAGAGCTATTCACCAAGTGATAAGTGGTCAAACACTATGAACAAGAACCTCTCAAAGGAAAATGTCAAAGCTACAAACTGCTATATGAAAAATTGTTGCAAATCACAAATAATTAGAAAAATGAAAACTAAAGTAAATCTCACACTCATTTAGCAAAGATGATAAAAGAAGAAAATGACAAATATTGGTGGAGCTGCAGAAAAAATGGCACATTAATATGATGTTGGTGGAGTCCTTCTGGAAAGCCATTTGGAAGTGTGCCTCAAAAGTTAGTAAACTATATACCATTTCAATCAGCAATTTCTCTCTTAATTTTAGTCCCTATATACATCAGAGAAAAATGAAAAAGACTCATATTTACAAAAATACTCTTAGTGACTTTTTGTTGTAGTAGAGAACTGGAAACTGAGGGGCCATACCCTTCAATTTGAGAATAGTTGAAAAAATATATTAGATTAATTTGATAGAATACTATTTTACTGAAAGAAATAATGAAAAGAATGGGTTCAGAGAAGCCTTGAAAGAATTGTATAAACTGATGCAGAGTGAAATGAGCAGAACCAGGAGATCATTTTATTTGATTACAACAACATTGTAAAGACAAAATCTTTGAAAAACTGAATTATTCTGATCAATGCTATGACCAACATTGCTTCGAGAGGACTTATTATGAAGTGTGCTGCTCTTTTTCTGACTGAGAGGTGACACACTGAATATGCAGAATGAGCCATGCATTTATGGACGTAGACAATGTGGGATTTGTATTTGGCTTGACTATTCATGTTTATTACAAGAATTTTTAATATCTTAAATTCAAGTGGCAGGAAGAGACAATTTTTCTTAATTGAAAAACAAAATAAAATAAAAAGAAGTTGATTATACACTTCCTGCTCTAAAGAGAATCTTTCTTTTCCTCTCACCTCAAGTACTGAGCTTCCCTGATAGTCAGAGCTTTTCTTTTTCTGAAGTCTCTAATTAATTGTCATCCCCCAGTCCTAATCACCCCCCACCCCTACTGGGTGCAATTGGTAGCATTGTACTCTGTTAATATCCCATCTCTGGAAGAGAAAGAAACCTGGTCTTCTTCCTAGGTTTCTCTCTCTGCTCCATGCCCATTTCAATCAGAGAAATGAGATTATCACTCCCTAACTTTCAATGAGGCCAGTGACTTCTGATTTCCCTAATTCTGTTGCATGTTACCCTAAAATTTGCTCTGTCCGATTAGGATAAGATGCTTTGCCTACTGATGGCTGCTAGAAATTCCCCCTTTTTCATATTCAATACCAAGTTCTTCCTTAATGGATGCCTTTTTAAAAAGCCTATATTTCTACCCCTTTACTGCACTTTAAAGCTTGTCACAAAAATGTCTCAAATGACTTTCTTAGAAATGTGGGCAAGTCCTGATTTTTCTATCCAAATGTTTCAAAATGTATTAAACAAAACTAAGTATCATATGTTTGAGTGACAATGGGAAAATAAACATATTGACAGACTGTTGGTGTAGCTATGGATTGTTTAGGCAGTCCCAAAAGCAATTTGGACCTATCAATCCCTAATTAGCAACTCATATATGTCCTTTGCACCAGCAACACAAATCTTTGGCCAGTGCTCCCAAAAAATCAAAAAGAAGAAAATAAGCAAAATTGACGTTACATAAAAAACTGTCCTGATTATTTTGGGGGGCTGCAAAGTACAGGAAACTAAGGGGCTGCTCATCAACTGAGGTAGAGCTGAACAAATCATGGTATGTGAATATAATTGAATTCTACTATGTTGTGAAAAATGATGAAAGGGAAAGCCTTACATCTAAGAAGACTTTATGAATGTATTCCAAGTAAAGTGAGCAGAACCAATCTGTACAATAACAAAAACTAGAGAAAGACAAACACTGTGCAGGGCTAGAGTTCTCTGATCTACATAAGGACCCACCATGATTCCAGAGGAACCATAATGAAACATGCTGCCCTCCTTCTGACAGAGAGGGCATGGACTCAAACATTTCTGGCTATTGCCAAAGTGGGGATTATTTTTGCCTGTCTATGTATATGTGTTTCAAGAGATTTTTTTCTTTTTTTCCCAATATGTAGTAAAGATGAGAGAGAAAACACTTTTTGTTATGAAAAAAATTAATTAAACTTATAAAGAAATGCAATGCCTTTGAATAGAACATAATAGTTTGTAAGTAGGGATATGAAGTTATCTCTTTATGACAATAAACTCACATGTGTTTGTTTGGGTTTGGGGGGTGTAGCTCTACAACTTTTTACCAGCATTCAGAGTGTACCTCCCTGGAAAGCATAAGATATTTTCTAGAAATATAGAGGAAATGAAACATTTCATTTTGGAAAGAGTGAAGGAGCATCAAAAGAGACTGGACCCCAGCAATCCTCAAGACTACATTGACTGCTACCTCTCCAAAATGCAGCAGGTAGGATGCAAGGGTGAAGCACCTTGTTTATTGAGCAAGGCTCATATTCCAAGAATTCCAAGAAATCACTTTCTTCAAAGTACAGGCAGGGACATCAGAAAGTCTCAAGATATCCACTTCCCCTAATGTTTCCATTACCTTCTAATAACCGGGCTTTGTTTGGTCTGACCTTGTCCCTTATCTGAACTCTTTAAGTGAAATGAAATTAAAAGAGTTCTGCTTTGGTGGATGATCTGGGCTTTCCTGTTAGGAGGATATTGTATTGGAGAATGGTAATAGGAATGAATGAATAAACATTTACTAAGTGCATCCTACGTGCCAAGTACTTAGTGCTGAAGACACAAAAAGAGGCAAAAGAGAGCCCCTGGCCTCTGGGAGCTTACAATCTGAAGGGGCAGATAATATGTAAACGAATACAAAGTAAACTCTAAACAGGAGAAGTGGGATGTAAAGCACGACTCTCAATTCATTCTTCACAAATCTACAAAGTTAACGTGCATGAAGTGGGAGACTCACTGGGCCATTCCTGTGATCAGGAAGCTTCAGGGCTCCTAAGACACAACACAGATTCATCTGTTTGGCTTTTAATACCCTTCACAGTCTGGCTCCAGCCTCTCTTTCTAGCCTGGTTATGCATTTCCCCCTCACACCCTGTATGGTACAGGCAAACTGGCCTTCTTATTTTCCCCTGTACGTGATCGCCCATCTTTTGCCTTTTTGCCTTTGTACACTCTGGCCCCCATGCCTGGAATGCTCTCACTCACTTTCTTCAACTATTAGCAGCCCTAATGTCCTTCTGAACTTGGCTGCTACCTCCTTCAAGCAGCCTTCACTTATTTCTCCTTGTGTTAGTGTCCTACCCAAAAATCTCTGTGTGTTCATTTTCTAAGGATCCCATGTGTACTTGCGTTGAATTCCTTCAATAGAACGTAAACTCCTAGAGGATAGAGACAGTCTTATTTTTATCCTTTCCCTTTATATCCCCACTACTCAATGCTCTGCCTGGCACATAAGAGATATATCTCATGTATTTGTTGATTGAGTGATTTAAAAACTAATAAAAATGTTAAACAGCACAGACCTAAATGCTGATCGTTGAAATGTTCACTAGAAACTTTCTTTCAGCTTGATACCAAGACCCTCCCTAGATGTATTACCATATTGCCCCTTTTACCTCTATATTTTTTGCCTTTATTTCAGTGGCCCTAAACCAATGGGAAATTTTTAAAAATAGTGTTGAATTGCCTTAAAAGCATGAGAGTGTTTATTCCATTGATTAAACTTTTCTCTTTATTTACCTTATGCTTGTCTGATTTGAAGTTTTCTAGGTCAAATACCTGATTCACTTTGAAATTCTTTTTAGGAAATGCCTGAAATACACTTTTTTTTTCTATAAGGCTATCTTCTTTTATCAAATATTTATATCTTCGCACCCAATGAAGTAAAGATAAACAAAATTCTTGTTATCACATGAGCATGATCAAGAAAAAGAAATTTTCATTTTGGCCATGTCCAAAAATATCTGTCTCATTTTACATACTAGTCCAACAACTCTCTCTTAGAAGGCAGGTAGCATTTTTCATCACTGGTCCTCTGCACTCATGATTGAAAATTGAATTGATATGAGTTCATTAATTTTCCAAAATTTTTCTTTTTTCAGTGTTGAGGCTGTTAGTCAATCTTATTTTGTGCATGATTAAGCTCATATTTGCAGGATTAGTTATTCAGGTGAATAACACAATCTTCTTTGATTTAAATCTATATCTTCCTAATTCAAAATCTAGTGTTCTATCTATTATGCCATATTGCTTGAGGGGAAGAAAGTTGCCTGGGAAGTGCAAGCCTTTGGTTGGGCAGTGGAGGCCTGAAGGTATTGGGAAAGTTCTAGTCTCTTAGGGTAGGGAAAGGAAGGTGGGGCAGGGTTCCTAGGACAAAGTTTATGTACTTCGTATGGTTACTAATGCCTTTCACTACTGTCTCTCATTACTTCATTTATTTTATACCTCTCCTTTAGGAAAAAGATAATCCGCAGTCTGAATTTGACTTAGAGAATCTAAAAATGACTGGAGTAGACTTATTTGTTGGAGGAACAGAGACAACCAGCAGTACCCTAAGATATGGACTGCTGCTCATTCTGAAACATCCTGAGGTCCAAGGTAAAGTAAAAGAACTGCCATGCTTACAGGCCAGGCTTGCTTTCCCAGCACTGTACGAGCTCAGAGGTTGGCCCCACATTTCCACTTTTTAGATTTGTATGACTCCCACAGGCCTATTTTAGAAAACAGAACACTTGGGCAAGACCTGATAGTTATTTAAGTATGTGAAGGTTTGTCGTGGGGAATTCAATTCACTTTAACAAATATGGATAAAGTTCCCACTGAGCTCTCTCAACTCTATGCATAGCATACAAAGACTCAAATGAAACATCTCCTTTCCTCAAATGGCTTACATTCTGCCAGGGCTGGTTCTGCTGTATCCAAAGAGGCAGAACTAGGAGCCATGGATAGATGTTGCAAATTGACAAATGGAGACTTCATGTAAGAGAAAGACTTGCCAACTATTAAAGTTCTCCCCAAGTTCATTCACTTGTCCAGGAAACAGTGAATTCTTGCTTACTGGAGGTTCTCAAGCACAGGCTGGGTGACCCTTTATTCAGTCCATTAGAAACAGGAATCCCATTCAAGTGTGGATGGCCCTAGGTAAAAACAGGTTATTTCCAACACTGAGATTCTATGCCTCAGCAGCTTAGGATATTGAGACAGGAGCTGAGATACATACCTGGTTCATGGTTTAAATCAAGGTGATAATGTCATCACCAGCTCTATCAAATTCATATGAAGGCATCTACTTTCTTTGACAGTAATAGCTGGCATCAATATAAATGATGTAAGGTTTGCATATCACTTGACGTAGAGTATTTCATTTGATGCCCTCTAAGGGAGGTGCAGTTATTTTTTCCATTTTACAAATCTTGGAATAATAGATTAGAGATGTAGGGAACCTTAGAAGACAGATAATTAATGATCCTCATTTTTCTGACGAAGAAAATGAGGCTCAGACAGGTTTAATGCCCTGCCTGAATTTATGCAGATGGTGTCTAAAGAGGAATGCAGTCCTGACTCCTATCCACTAAGGCACAGAAAATTATCGCATTATTGCTGCAAAAGTCATTGCTTCCTGCACTGTGTAGAAAGAGGACACTGAGCACATCTGAGAATCATTTCAGGTCATATGATCAGGCAGATATTCTGCACAGGCTCTGTGAAGCATTTCCAGGGGACCAGGAAGCTCGGTGGTTATTTGTATTTTTGTTCCTGCAGCAAAAATTCATGAGGAAATTGATCGTGTGATTGGACGTAATCGAGCTCCTTCCATAAAGGACAGACAAGATATGCCCTATGTGGATGCTGTGGTGCATGAAGTGCAAAGATTCATTGACCTCATCCCTCTGAACCTGCCCCATGCGGTGACCCAGGACATCCAGTTCCAACAGTATGTCCTGCCCAAGGTCAGTAGCCATGGGATCATGGAATCTAGTTTTGGAAGAAATCTTAAATATCATCTGGTCCAGGGATCACATTTTAGACATGAGAAAATCAAGTCTCATTGTCATGATCTCACGTGCAGTTCTCCATAAGGCAGTCTTTGTTACATGAGGCTTACTTGGATGTGGTGCTGAATGAAAAATGAGAGGAAAGTATATACTTATCTTGGTTCTCACTGCTTCTCATTCACTGTGGTAACACTTTGGAAAGAAAATGTACCGGGAGAATAACAAAGTGAGATTGTTTAAGTGAAATTTGTGTTTATTTCATTTCCTCTTACTAGACAGTGAAATGGATTGTGTAAAAACTATTGACTGTCCCATGGTGCAAATGGAGACACTGGGTCTCAGGTCAAATGACAAGCCTAAGGTCATTTAAAAATGATGGAGCAGATACTACAACCTAGGTTTTTAGATCTAAAATACTGCTTTCTGGGGGGGGTGGTACTAAGTAAGCACTGATTAAATTAATTGACTTAAATTGAAGTTTCCTAGCAATGGTTGAGCAAAACTATTCTCCCTCCAAGAAATAAGAAGGGAGCATTCCCCCTAATTTCATGTTTAATGTGCCCCATTGAGTGCATTGTTCAGTTAAAATCATCAAAACGTCAGTAAGAACCTACTATGTGACAATTGCTGGTCCAAGTGCTGTTGCCGCAAGGCAAGAATAGAAGGGTATTTTACTATTGAGGACTTTGGCTTTTCCTGGAGTGAGTACAATTTGGAACCAGGAAAGTATATCCAAATAATTATTTCTTTCCTTCAGACCCAAGTTGTGATTTGATTGGAAGAGTGGTTTCCTGCTGAAGAAACTCCTTCAGGAGGAAGCCTGATCTTCCCCTAGAGGCTTTAAACATTGCCTGGGGCACTGACAATTCACATGTCCTTCCCAGAGTCCTACAGGCAGCAGGTGTAGACATGAAGTGTAGACCAAGGAACTGAGGGTAGAGAGAGCACAAAGAGCTCAGGACCTTAGCCAAGGCTTCCTGTAGGAGGGGGTACCCAAGCCAATCTTTGAAGAAAGCTGGGGATTCTAAAAGGCTGACGTGAGAAAGGAGTGCCTTCCAGGCATGGGATATGGCCATTACAAAGGCATTAAGGCCAGACAGGGAGCCTTGTGGATGGGGAACAGTAGTTGGACCAGTTTAGCTAGAACTCCAAGGAGGGCATGATGGGAACACTAACCTGTAAAGCTAGACTACAGCCTATACAGATTCTCAATGGCTTGACATCCAAGTCTGTACCATACACAAAGCAGTGTACCATTTGTACTAGAGACAATAGGGAATCACTGAAGATTTTTGGTACTGGCATATAAAGGATATTCATGATGATAACTGACTCTCCCCTGGAATTTCTTCCCTCTAGGGCACAACAATCTTCCCACTGCTCTCCCCAGTCTTGTGTGACAGCAAAGAGTTTCCCAACCCTGACCAGTTTGATCCCCAGCACTTCCTGGATAAGAATGGGAAATTCAAGAAAAGTGACTACTTCATGCCATTTTCCATTGGTAAAAAGACACCCTTCCCATCTCTACCTCTCACTCTAAAAGGAGAATCCTGTTTCCCTTCTGCCTGAGCCTCCTCCTAAAAGTTTTTCAGATTTCATGCTGCTCCACTGTGGCATGTGACACACTATCTTTTCTAGTGTTCCCATGGCTTGGCTTTTTTCTCAGAACCCTCAAGAGATGAGCTGAGCCTCTTGAGTGGATTTCCAGCTCTCTTATTTTAGTGGAACTATGACTTCATTTCAATATCCGCTATATAAGGGCTCAGTGTGGGAAGAATGGTGTGAAGAAGGAATTCCTTCCTTCCCCTAGTGACTATTACTGGCTGAAATATAACTCACCTTAATAGTTCTCATCTTTTCTGCCCCTTCACATCCTTCTCTTTTACTCCTTTTCCCACTATTGTACTGGTCCAATGAGTCTGTTTCACTTTGGCTGACACCGATATTCTATGAAGGTTTCTAAACATAATTTTTTTTTCTAGGAAAACGGTCTTGTCTTGGAGAGGGCCTGGCGAGGATGGAGTTGTTTTTGTTCTTTACCTCTATTCTACAGAATTTTACTCTCAAACCAGTTGGAGATCCAAATGGAATTAGCATGAAGAACAACCATATTGGGTTCATCAATATTCCACCACATTACCAACTATGCTTTCTTCCTCACTAAGAAAGAAGAAAAAGTTCATTTAGTAAATTAGCCAGCTATTTTCATCTTCTGGACTCAATACTCTCATGTTTTTGATTGGAATCCCCTTGAGGGAAAGAAAAATTCACTTATTGATTAAAATGTTTCTTAATTTCCAGAGGCAAGGCAGGCTAGTGGAGTACCTTGTATGTAATTTTGTAATAGGGACTGCCTTTTAGATACTTATGTGCAAACCTCTCCCAAATGTCTCCAGCCATGTTCTGATTCACAGCCCCAATTCCAATTTTTGGGTGTGTGTAAATGATCTGAAAATATTTCCCCAGAAAACCCATATTAATTTGTTCTTTTGTTTTCAAATATCCTCAGGGATGATCTTCTTTTGTATTACATAGCCACTGTTTGTGAATTTGGGGTACAATAAACAGCTGTGTTGCTAATCATACCTGATGTGCAAATGTGTGCCTGCACTTCATACTTTGAGGATTCATGACTTCAGAAGCAGTATGGTAATATGGAAGGAGCCCTGATTTTGGGGGCATATGACCTGGGACCAAGCCTGCTACTAATGCTAATGACTTGTGTGGCCCTGGACAATTCATTCCACTATTTATTCTCACATCAAATTCTTCATCTCTGCAATGAATGGATTACATGGGCTCAGGGTTCCCTACTGACTCTCCATATTTTGATCAGTGGAAATAGTTGATCCAGCCACCCAAGCTTTAGTGGACCACTTTCAAAGGAGAACCATCTCCTGGTGACAGTCACACTAGTGATGGACTTCTCTGCTATTGGTTAGGATGGTCACCAAGTGACTAAGTCACTGTCCATTGATGGACCCATAACTTTCTAGGTTTGTAGAATCTTCTAGCAGGGGTGGGGAACCTGCATTCTGGAGGCCACATGTGTGAGGTCCTCAAGTGTGGACCTTTGACTGAATGAATCTAGACTTCACAGAACAAATCCCCTTAATAAAAGGATTTGTTTTGTAAAAATTGGACTCAGTCAAAAGGCCTCACCTAAGGACCTAGACGGCCACATGTAGCCTTGAGGATGCAGATTGCCTAATCCTGTTCTAGAGTTTAGGTACTAACCACCTAAGATCATCACCATGCTACAACTCAAAGCAATACAGCAATCTGTTAAAGACCTATGATTTTGTTAGTTAAAGTCCCAGAGCAGGTGAGAACCCAACTATAACTCAGTAGCTAAATCTGAGAGAGTTGTCTCAAGTTCTTAGACATCGTGGGACTTGCCTCTGGCCACATAGCTCTAAATAAGCAAAATTCAGACCGATATTTTTCAGACTCCAAGTCCAGCATCATAACATGGCTTCCACTCTATTTCCTTTACTTCAATGACCCCTTATTTTTACAGTTCCTCACTTCATCTCTTGCCTCACTTTTTTCCTTTCAGCATCCTGACCTAATAATGAATCAGTTCCATTTTAAATTGACCTCAATGTCAAAATCCCTTGTTTTCTTGACCTATGGAGACATGCATCACTTACCACATTCCAATAACCACTTGCCTTATCTGTTACTGTAGACTTGCCACTAAATACAGAACTCTTCTGTGACTCATTATCTCCTGTCCTTCAGCACCTATTTTGAGATTTCTCTTTTATACTGAGTCCTCTCACATTATCCCCTTCCCCCTTGCCAGAATTCTGAAGTCAGCATAACACTGAAAAAAGTTTGAAAATATCTATTGATAATTTATAATTTTCTACAGTTCTGTATTCTAAATCACCTCTGCATCATACACACACACACACACACACACACACACCTCCTTTCTTTTGTTCCAGGATGGTAGAGGGTGGTGGAAGAACAGAAAAAAGAGGCAGCATTTTTTCTTGCAACTATCAGCCCCTCTACTTGGACCCCTAATCAAAGCTCCTTTCTCCTCTGATAGCTTGTGCCTTCTATCCTCCCTTGTTTTTTCTTAACTTTTTGTCTCTTCATGTCACCTGCTCCCTTCCCTACTGCTTACAATCATGAGCACATCTCTTTCGTTCTTAAAAGGAAACAAAAAAACCCATCTAATTCCCAGAGATTCCCTGATAGGTTGTTATTGTCTCTGCATTACTCAGCACTCTCAGCCCATCAAAAATGACACAATATTCCTTTTTGAATATGCACTGAGTTAACATCTTTTCTGCCTCAGTGTAGGAGGAGGGTTTGCTTCAACCTCTGGAAGGCACAGGACGAGTCCTTCAAGACTGGCTTTTCATCTTGAAAGTTCAAGGGTGCTGAGTCACACATGGCCAATAGGAAATGCACCTGGTAATCTCTCTCCATGCTCTGTTCAACCCCAATTATATTGCCCTTCTCTGCTACTCCTTCCTTACATGATCAATCTCCTAGAAAAATGATCTATCCATTGGCCTCTATTTTCTCACCTCCTACTTAACTCCCCTCCCCACAATCTGTCTTCTATTATTGTTACAAAAAAGAAACTGCTCTCTCTGAGATTAGTGTGTCTTTTAATTGCAAAATGCTGTTGCTTTTTCTCAATCTTCATCTTTTGATTTCTCTGGAACTTTTGATATTATTGACCACACAATCCTTCTAGGTCAATAATTCTCCTCTTTGGATTTCCTTGACACTGTACCGCTCCTCTATTTCTCTTCCGCCTTCCCATGTGGCCACATTGTGGCCGAGATCACTTGAAACAGAAGACTCAGCTCTATGAACGAGTTTAGAATTCTATGGCCACTAAGGGTGTGAGATGACTGAGAGCAAGAGCCATGACAAATAATCGTTTAACTGTGCTAGTTAACTCATAGAAACAGTCAGAACCGTAATTAGCAATTCTGACATCAGAGGAGGAAGCACCAAGTGACTTCAAAAGCACTTTGAATTGCCCAGGACGTTGCACTGTATTGAAGAGACAGAGACCCTGGGAAACTGCAAAGGAAACCACTGGGGTAGGTAAGAGATCAAGACCAAACCAGAAAAGAGCTCCAATGGGATGGAGTCAATTTGTCAGAGGAGAGAGATGAGGAAGACATCAGCGATAGGCTGCCCAGTTCACCATTTATTCTTGTGGATTAGGCTCTAAGATCCATTGTTCTACTTACTGAAAGAATACACATGTTGTCCTCACCCTCTCAGTGTTGGGGCCCTGGAACAAAGCCCAGCCTGGCCCACCTTAGCTACAGCACATCTTCTGTGTTTGTGACTATCTCATCCAAGATACAACAGTCAGTAGGTTCTAAAAGCAAAGACTATTGTCACTTGTCAGTCAATACGAGGTCTTCTCTCCCAGTACTCATAAGCAGCAATCTCTGTCTACAGCTATGACCTTCCCCCAGTGATGGCTAGGATAAAACTGGTGACTCTTTGGAAACTGAGGATTTTTTTTCCCAAAATGTAGCTTTCCTAATGTTGAATTCAGCACCCTCCACTTTTTCAAAAGCCACTATTATGTTCAGGAAAGTGACCTTTGCACAAAACTGCTGAGAAAACTGAATGGCAATATGTCTCTCCTCCCCAGTGTAAACAATTTCCAAAGTTACATCAAACACTACAAGTTTCAAAGAATCAATAATGTAAATATTCAGGTCACATGAGAAAAGAAGATAAGAATGAAATGTTAGCTCTTTTTAAAAATGTGGAGAGCAACAAAAACTATCAAAATGTGCCTAAACATTGACATCTGGTCTGTATCTTACAATTTTAGACGACATTGCTCGGGCTGCTAACAGTTTAAGTGACTTGCCCAGGATTACATAGACAGGACATAAGCCCAGGACCACCATGACTGCAAGACCAGCTGTTACTCCCCTGTGTTATGGTGCCTCTTGTAGTACTTCTCCCACCTGCCTCATTCCTCCTCAGTTTCCTTTGCTGGACCTTCATCCAGGTCATCCCTACCAACCATGCGTGCCCCCTAAAACTCTGTCCCATGCCCTTGTTTAGTCTTTCTATATAGTAGAGGCTCCTAACCTGAGGTCCAAGGACTGATGAAGAAGGTCTATGGATAGTTTTAAGGGTATCTGTGGACTTGTTCATGGACAATTTCACAATACCAACAGCCTATTGGACATATTTCAACCTCGATTCCCACATACATCTTGAACTCAACATGTCCAAAACAGAGATAACTTTCTCCTTAAACCTTCCCTTCTTCTGAACTTATCTATTAATGTCGAGGGCACTACCACCCTTTTAGTTACCTAGGATCGCAATCTCAGTGTCATCCTCAACTCTTCTCACCTCCTTATCCCCAGTAGCCAATCTCTAGATGAGTCATATTGTTTCTATCTTGACATCTGTTATATATGTTTCCTTCTCTCAACTTACACAGCTACCACTCTGGTTCAAGCCTTTGTTAGCTCACTTCTGATGTCATGCAATAAACTTCTAATCAATGTTCTTGACTTACCTTTCTTTGCACTTCAATCTATGTTGCTAAACTCAACTGCCAAATAGATTTCCTAAATCACAAGTCTGATCATGTCTATAGGAAGCCCCAGTCATTTCCTATTACTCCCAGGATCAAATATAAAATGTGTTGGTTGACTTTACAATCCATCACTACCTAACCCCATCCTACATTTCCAGTCTTTTCACTTTAAACTCCCCTCTATACACTTAGTCAATAAATTTAGTAAAGAATATAGCCAGTCAATAAACATTTCTTAAGAACCTACTTTGTGCTAGGCTCTGTGATAAGTGTTGAAGATACAAAAAGGGATAAAAGACAGACCTTGTCTTCCCTGGAAGAGCTCTCTCCCTCTCTCCCTCCCTCTCTCTCTCTCTCTCTCTCTCTCTCTCTCTCTCTCTCTCTCTCTCTCTTTCTCTCTCTCTCTTTCTCTCTCTCTCTCTCTCACACACACACACACATACACACACACAATGTATAAGATAAATATGAAGGAATTATCAGAAGGAAGGCACAAGAATTAAGAGTTTGGAACACCTTCCTGTAGAAGATGGGATTTTAGCTAGGACCTAAAGGAAGCAAAAGAAAAAAAGGCAATAAGTAGAGATGAAGAAGGAGACCATTCCAGTGATGTGGGACAGCCAGAGAAAATGTCTGGAGCTAAGAGATGGAGTGTCATCTTTGTGGGACATTCAGAAGCCCAGCATCACTGGATCAAAGAGTATGCATTAAGGAAGAAGGCATAAGAAGACTGGAAAAGTAGGAGGGGGTTAGGTTATGATGGGCTTTGAATGCCAAACAAAGTATTCTGTATTTGATCCTAGATGCCATAAGAAGCCACTGAAATTTATTGAGTGGTGTGTGTGTGATCAGACCAGCATTTTAGAAAATTACTTTAGTGGTTGAGTGGAGCATGGATTTGAGTGAGGAAACAGCTGAGGCAGGCAGACCCAGTAGCAACTTGGATGCAATTTTCCAGGCATGAAGTGATGAGGGCTGGTCTTAGAGTAGCAGCAGTGTCGGAGCAGAGAAGGGGGTGTATATGAGGGATGTTA